AAGGCATATGTATATATGTATATATAACCACATTTGATAATTATATAAACACAACTCTCTCCTCATTATTTGCTGACAGTATTCAACTCAAGTAGATATCATTGTTTTCTCTTCGCACACTCCCTCTGTCCCCTCTTCTTCTCAATCAAAAAGTCAACAAAATAAATATGTAACGAGGAAAAAACATGACATCCACTTGGGCACCACATCAAAGAAGTGAAAATTAGGAGGGAAGCATATTTAGTACATAGAATCATTGGAAGACAAAAAACTGATGATATTCCATGGGTAGGTGGCCCCGGTTTTTGACATTACCTTTTAGTGTAATCTAAACATCTTAGACCTTTATGCCCAAACCCCCACCATTAGGTTTTATCTTTATTCCATCCATCTGTCTCCTGACAAATATTGCCCACTTAGAAACATCTATAGGATGATCACATCACCATCATCCAACGATTCCATCAAGATAAGTTTGCATTTCAAAGCCTTCAATCACTACAATTACAAATGACGAATTAAAACCAGTTCAGTTGAAGATCTAAGTCTTAAAATTTTCTCCCCAAATTCTCTAGTACCACCCAAGCCAGCCAACATCCCATATGATGACCGAGTCCAAGGACAAAAAGTTTATTATTTCCCAGACTGTTTTATTTGTAAACTGGATACTTTTTCTTATAGTCCTGTCCTTAAGTTTTCCATATAGTTATTAATTATTTGGTTGTTATTTAAAACACCACACGGTTCCAGAGCAAAGTCTAAAACTGAAGTACTATTTTACTCGAATATCGAGTTTGAGAGTACCATTAGAGATCCTTAAATTGCCAGATGATGGAGATCAAGGTTCTTAAAATGAACTTACTAATATACTATTCAATTTATTTTCCTATTACACACAACAAAAACGTCATGAAATTGATACAATAGACATGCATATCATTTTATTCTGAAGAAAGATAATACACTCTTGTTCACCTCAGGACTTCATCTTTCTAGAGCTAGACAGTGCAGCATCTGTTTGGTCAGTGTCCCTTCGGCCTGAAATGTTAGAAAAGATTATTTAGGTATTTTTATAAGTTCATTTTTCCGTACAAAACTGGGACTTAATTGAGAAAATCACTTGTGGGCAGAGTTTGAAAACGAAAGAACAGATCCTGTGGAAGAATACAGACACTGCTAAGCGAAGGGATACATGGCCAAAGAGTAACCAAGGGATTTTCAAAGACACTGTAGAAACTGGGAAGAGACTTACAACATGGCAGAACCCTAAGCTTCTATTTCATGCAACCTATCCAGATCTTCTCTAAATTATACCTCCTCTTGTTTAACAACTTCAACTGGAACAATTTTTTGTGAGTTCTTGGGATCTTCGGATAATTTCCTCTATTTCCTATATTCAATATCTTAATCTTCAACCTTAAAATTTCAAGATTGAAAGGAAAATGAATTACAGCTCGTAAAACATTGTATTGACTAATCAAACTGCCAATTACAATTTACATACATGCAACCAAGACACGAAGTCTCTGCGGATGCAGATTAACTTACAAAACCATTCTTACAAGATAAAAACTTCTTTTTAGGGAGGTCCCGTTGTTCACACACGCCTTAGACACTCTTCAAAGCAAAACTACCAGTCGAACCATCACACATTACATCAATAGTTTTAAATTCTCAATTAACAATATTCTTTACAACTACAAACCCACATTTTCCTCAAAATTCCATCGCAAAATCAGAAATGAAATTATCAAGATGCCGAACTGACCGCCACTCAACAGTAAACGAAAGTTAAAAATAATAACAATAATAATAATAAAGAATCGAAACAAGAAGCAGCTAACGACTGATCCAAGAGCAAATGATTGGAACACGAGGTTTAACGGTCAAATTTCAGTAAGACCATTTGAATTGAAGGAATCCAGTAGTGAAAATGAAACCCTAGAACAACGGAAATTGAGGGAACCAAAAATTTATGCAGAAACTGAACTCCATACGAATCAAACATTTGAATATGGTAGAAAGATTACCGAATACGAAAGAAAAAATAGAAGGGCTCCGAGTTTGAAGTGATTTGAATCTGAGAAGACCATCACCATGTACAGTGACCCATTTGTCAAAA